TAAGACAGATTCGTCCTCTCTACGGTACTTTCAGATTGTGGACATCTATCTCCCAGGATAAAATGATCAACAACAAACAATAACGGCACTACAAATTGTTTGTACAATGAACACACTAAGTGTTTACACTTTTTCTCACAGAAATTTAATGCAGCAAAATGCAGAGATTATTTGTAGAGGAGAAGTACGAAAATTGTGAATGAAAACATCAAATGAGGGCTAGTCTATTTATAGATGAGTTGGTGGCTTTTCAATTTGAATCCAACAGGTAGCAAATCTGTTTTGAACAAATACAGTACCTGTTCGACACTGTTTGAATAGATTCAACTTGTTCGGTTTGAATTTTGAATAGATAATTGAATCTGTTGCACAGATTTGAATTTGTTTCGAACAGATAAAATCTGTACAGAATTTGAAGAGGTGCAAACTAATTTGAATTCAAATAGATTTTATTTTACCAAAAATAAAATTCAATTCAAATGGTTTTGGCCCAAAAAGATTAGTATTGGGCCGGACAAGCCCAACCCAACCTCACACCACGCACCCACGCCGATGCCCAAGCGGTAGTGGCAGCCACGCGCGGGGTGATTTTTGGGTCCAATGGATCTAGCCCATTTTGCCCATAACTTTCCTCTCTACAAAACTTGGGTACCCCTTGGGACCTACCCCAAGTTCCAACTCCAAGCCTTATAAACCCATTCAAAGTTTCCCACCAAATCAATGTGGGACAAGCCTTAAACCAAACTTTTAGGAATTTCTACCAAAAATTCCATTTCCATTGAGCTCACTTTGACTTCAATGTCCCATTCATTCGATAATGGTTTTGAACAACCAAATATACCACGTGAATCACAACGCAACATAGAACGCGTTACCACTTAGACCCTTCAACTTTGGCGCATGGGTCCCACCTAAATTAGACCAAAGTTTAGGAAAAAATCTGTTTTTCCAAATTTTCCCAAAACCATTTCTAACACAAAGATTAGTACATTGTCATTAGAATAGCTTTATTGCAAAGAAATGTACGAAAGCAATAAACTTACGTGTTTATTAGAATTTTCAAACTTGAGTCGATTTGACCATGACAAAATGAATCAAGATTGTACACTATCATCAACGATAGATCAATGACTACTAATACCCAATGGTACCTAAAATTGAACAAACCGCAAGTATGTGAGCTCAACAAGTAATTATTTTTCAAACACATGAAATAAATAGCACTAAGAAAATTACCCAATATTATATGGACCAAATAGCAGTGGCTACTTTTTCTCTATGCCATATCCATTTGCCAAAAAGAATCAAAGCAATTTAACAGGATCTGTATTTTGTATTTTACTACAACCCAAATAAATTAGTTATAAACAAATGAAAACAAAACAAATAGAACATTAAGATCTAGATTTTATGCCTCCAAACACCATAATCTATCAAAGATTTATGTACCCACAAAATTTTTTTTAAAAAATGCAAATAACAAATTGATCACTCAAGAAAAGGATACATCTTTCCGTTGGGTTTGCATAAAACACAAATATATAAGAATTTCAGGCCAAAAAACACAACAAAACAATGATCAATATATTTGCTATGTAAGGAAAACATGATAAATCCCAAAACTAGACTAGCCACAAAGCCAACATCTGTTAAAAAAATAAATAAATATCACCAAGATCTATAACCTCAGTCATCAGATCATCCAAACAAGAAATTTCCCAACAAACACACACGCACATATATATACACATTATATTTATGCAAGACATAAAACCAAAAGAATTGAATAACCTAGAAGTCAGCAAGATCAAATCAAGAAAATGCATATTGGGCTCAGCAATAGCCAACAGTGTCAAATTTCATAATTACATCAATTCTAATTGACTGTAGGAATGTTAGATTTTAATTAGCAACTAAACTAAATGGCAACTACATGGGTTGAGATTGTATGCCGAAGCGATCACAATACATCAACCTTTTGTAGAGATGGACCATTGATGCAAAGTTCTTAGCCTTCAAAGTCACATGAGAAACCATTTGCATTCTTCAAGCCTTTCAAACATATTGTATAATGGCCTTGCAAAAGTGATACAATTTTGTCAAGTATCTTATGTTTAGAGTAGCCCAAATCACTAAGAATATGGTGAAAAAACCTCAAGTCAAAAATCTGCTAGCAAGATTAATCATTTTTCTCCTTTACCGCTCTCAACACAAAGCCACCAACACTCAAAACTAAAATTTCGGAAGTATACATTAAACATCAAGAACTACCGCACTACGTGCAATGCCTAAGCTATGTTCTCGTGAATAAAAACTACCCTGAAAGCAATATATGCCAGTGTAGATAAGTCAAGCTTTCACTGTCAACATTATTTTTCTACTCCAGAAGATGGCTCTTATATTTAATTAAGTAAATGAACAAATTCTAAATACATTTACATAATTCAAGAAAACTTAGATGATAATAATAATTTTTAATGCACGTTCATCATCCAAAAAACAAAGGAACAGTAGAAATCTGAGTCGGCTTTCTTACCTTGGGGAAAACAAAGAGAACGAAAAAATAGAACATGAACACAAACATTGAGAGAGAAAGGGAGAGAGAGAGGGAGAGGAAGAGACAGACAAAGAATGAGTAAAAGAGGGAGAGAGGATTTATACCTCAATTTGTTTTTAGGGAGAGTTGAAGGATTTATACCTCAAATTGTATTCAGAATTTCTACAAAGTAGGCTCAAAACATGAGGCACACTAGCAACAAAATTCCCAAACCTAGGAATTGAGGCCAAAATACCCACTAATCATTAATGATGCCAATTTGGTATTAACAAGGCAAGACTAACAAAACAATCTGAAAACCCTACATACATTGATTGATTTTACAATTGGGTTGGTTTCAACAAAAACTGAAGAAATGTTTACCAGGCAGTGTCGGTAGAGGATTTCTTGACGGCAATGCGAGACCAAGCGATGACCTTGCCGAAGCTGAGGGGCTTGATTTGGACATGTGTAACGACGATGCCGATGAGCTATACGGAGTTACAGAGCTCCTTCTTCCACTGAAATGCTCTCTTCAAAACAAGAAGACTATGAGAAAGAGGAGTAAGAGAAATCAAAAAGAAAAAGTGAGACAGACAGAGATAGACAGAGAGACAGACGCTTCAAAAAATATACCTAGATAACGGTGGAGAGGCGAGGACGGCGGACGACAGCGTTGATGGTGAAAAGGCGAGATGAGTGGCACGACTGAGAGGATGGGATCGATTAGATGCATTTTTGTGAAATATTATAAGGGTTTGAATTTGTTTTTCCCTATGACAATGTTGGTCAGTTATTTGGACTCTATGCATTTGACATGCAAAATGACGTCATTGTTCAATCTGCCACTAAATTGCAATAGTCGCTAAAAGATTTTAGTCTCCCTCCTAGTGTTTCACTTTCCTGCCTAAATTTTTGGCGACCAATATTTCAAATTAGTCGCTAAAAATCACTTTGCCTACCAATTTTTTTCCTAATAGTCAAATGTGATTTTTTTTGCCACCAAAATATTTTTGGTCGACAAAAGTGGTCAGTAAATGTGTTATTTCTTGTAATGTATCACTGCACCAATAATAATATGAGAATATAATAGTTTGACTCAATTTTACATGCATCTATTATTTTATTTTAACAAATTTTCATTAATTTTTCTATACACTCCAAGAGAAACAAACATTTCGAAATTATTAATTTTAACCTTTGGAACTATATTTAAAATATAAAAACAAAATTATTTAATTTAAAATAATAAAAATCAAATTAAAGAGTTAAATGTGTTAAAATTTATGGCATTGGTATTTAACTAATGATTCTAGACTATTATTCTTTTGAAGATTCCACTTGAGTCTTGGCTTGTCCTTTTACAGTGAGTGAGAGGATTCCCTCTAGTTCACATAGTGGATTGGAACGTATTGTTGGGTCTGTAAAATTTATCAGGGTCTTATTTTAATAATTTAAATCGTTCAATGTGTAGAGCTTATATTGATTGGATATCGATAGCCCCCTTAATCGGAACACATTTTTGCTAATGATAAATATGATTTTAAAAATAAATTATAACATAATGTGTTCCTATCAAAGGATTACCAATATATGATCAACATGATTTTTTGCAAATATAAAATACTCGACGAGTTTTACACATTGAACAGTTCAGATTATCGAAACAAGACCCGTAATAGATCCCACCTGTGGAGCATGGGTACTTCAAAAAACATGTCATGCCCGTACCTAGTATTTATCAGCGTATGGTACCTCATATGGTACTTCTGTATATGTACCGGGTACACGAAACACGTATCTAAATTTTTTTTTCTTAATTTTTGATGTACCTAGACGTACCTAATATATACTCAAGTGGTACCGTACCTCAATTGAAACAATATTTTCTTCTACTATAGTGATAAAACTCGTTTCACTAGACTTTTTTTTTTAATTTTTTGTTTTATACTTAACATGATTTTAAAATTAAATTATGATTTGTAAGTTATTTAATATATTGACATTTAATTTTGATTTATATATTTACTTTTGACATTAAATATTAATTGTAAGTTATACCTTAACAAATTAAACTATTTAATTAATTTATACATTACTCTAAATTAAAAATAAACATTTTTTTACAAACGTACCAAATCAAACTCATTCCCTATTTTTTTAATTTTATCGTATCGATATATCATATCATACCAATACCAATACCAATACCAATACTAATACCAATGCCTATATCCATACTTCATAAAACCTCACCAACCCAACAATACGCTCCAAACTTCTCTCTTATAATAACCAGTTGAGTTTTCTCAGCAATTGTTGAAGAAGTTTTACAGAAACTCCCTTCACTCCCCTGTCACCATTACCAAACACACCATTTCCCAAATCCCTCTTTTAAAAACACTTCCCCCAACTTCTTCGTCATCACCCAACAACACACAAAACACATCCCCAGATACTCTCCCTCTCTCTCTCTCTCTCTCTATATATATATATGTATATAGTGGCAAAACATCAAAACCCAATGATGGCACCATCATCTCCAACACCAACGACCTTCGTCCAAGCAGACACCACCACTTTCAGAGAACTGGTCCAGAAGTTAACCGGCCCAACCGGTGACCCCGCGGACAAACTCCCGGTAACATTCCCCACAAGGATTTCTTCCAGACCCTACAACCCAATCGACGCCACCGGCATTCGCCGGTCACCCTTCAAGCTCCAGGAGAGGAGGCACACCATGAGGAAGCTCGAGATCAAGCTCGGACTCACCTCTCTCCGTAACTCGTCCTCGCCGACGATTCAGAGCCCAGTCACTCCCCTCGGCTGTGACGCCGTGTTCTCCGCCGTCGCCGGCGGCGGAGGAGTCGATTCGCCGTCTTCGCCGGAGGAGAAAGCGATTGCGGAGAAGGGGTTTTACTTGCACCCGTCTCCGTTGAGTACTCCGAGGAAATCGGAGCCGCCGGAGCTGTTGACTTTGTTCCCGTTGACTTCTCCTAGACAGAGCAGCAACAGCATCAATCTCGGGATTCGTGAAAATTAATTGTACTTTTAAAAAAATAATAATTTTTATAGTTCGAATGCTTTGTTTTCAGGATTAAGGTTGTAGATTTTTGCTTTTGTTATTTCGAGTGTCTGATATTTTTGCTGCTTGATTGGTAGGAGAGAGAAGATAACTAATTAATTGATGCTATATAATATTTTTATAATAATTGGGTCTCTTAATATTTTTATGAAAAAAATTTGATTTATAAAAATTTGTGTTTGACTCAGAAAAATTTCTGTCTAACTCAAAGAAATTTTGGCTCAACATAGAAAAATTTTGAAATTTTTTTGATATAATCATAGAGAAATTTCATTGAAAGATCTTAATTAATAAAAAAAATATCTTAAATCTCTCCTACTATACCAAATTAGAGAGGAATGTTTCACTAATTCCTCCATATTTTTTAAGCTCAAAATTTTGAACAAATATTGAGTATAATGCAACAGTGATATCGACTAATAAAAAATATATATCCTTTTTTCTCCTTAAATTATTGTAAATTGAAAAAAATTATTAATTAATGACACGGTCACTTAATGTAACTGTTACATTAATCTATTATATTAATTGAGCCCAAATTTAAAAATTAGCAATAAAAATAGGTTTAAATGTAATTTATTTACATACTAAATTAATATCTAATAAAATTTTAATTAAACTAATTAATTATACTTTGCATTTTTTATTTTACATCAAATTCTATTTTATCTTGTTTTTGAATTATAACCGTTAATATTTTACACTTTCAATCAAGTAGTAAGTGACCCTTTCATTAGTTTGTTATTTAATTGCCTAACAAAAATTGCCATGTGATTATCATGAATTATTTTTTAAAGAAAAATGCAAGTTTTTTCTTTTTTTTTTTTATTTTATTAATAATTTATCATAGTGTATATATATATATATGTGTGTGTTGGAATTGTATTTTCTAAACCTATCAAGAAAGAGGTGGTCGATGGTAGTGAATTTTTAAATATACAATAAAAGAAAAATATCATGAAAAATATTGAATAAGTAGAAAAAGAGGGAAAATATACAATTTTATCATAAAAATGTCATTTGACAAATTTTGTTAAAATATTTAATATTAAACTAATTGAAGAACCACATTACAACTTGATTAAAACTGTAAAGAGTTGATCCCTACAGTTAAAAAATAAAATAATATTATATAATATAAAACGAAGCATTGCGAAATATTCATTCTGTTTGTTTTTAATTTTTAGAATTCACTTTTTAAAAAATTATACTTTCTTATTTTTCGTATTTTTTATTTTTACTGAATTTTTTTAATATTTTAAGTAATTTTTTTTTCTAATTTTTAGACACACTGAACATAAATACACTTAAAAAAATATAATTTTTATAAAAAAAAATCTTTAAAAAATTCATTAAATATCAAAAATACAAAAAAAAATGAAAATTCAGTATATTTTTTTTTATATTTTTGTGTATTCATTAATTTTTTAAAATATTTTTTCACAAATATTTTACTTTTTAGATATATCTAAGTAAAGTGCATCTAAAAAAATTTAAAAAAAATATTTAAAATTTTAAAAATATTTACTAAAAACAAAAAATTAAATTTAAAAAATTAAAAATAAACACATTAATTATTTATTTGTTTGTTTATTTTAATAATCACATAACTAGTATGATTGGCTTGAGCAAGTAACCACTGAGCAGCTTAGCGTGTGGAAATCTGGGAGAGGGGATCTCGTCAATTTCTGAATACAACATGCGATTTTTCTCAATCCAGTGGGGGCCACACGGTTTTTAAAGGAAATTGTCTTTCTTTTGTAGTATTTATTTACACCATAGTCATGAATCATACCTAATTGACTTACCTACCAGACATTAACAAGAATTCCAACTCATGATGATCAAGTCCTAACATAATAATTATATTATTGTCCCAAATCAAACAAATTATAATAATAATAATAATTATTATTATTATTATTATTATTATAAAACCCAAAACAGTCCACTACCTAAACCAAAAGAAAATAAAAAATTGTAAGAAAATTGTTGCAACATTTTCATTAACAAATATTAATTTTTTTTTCTTTTTTTACATACATTAAAGGTAGCAATTTAAAAAAAAAAAAAAAAAAAGTCTCGTCTGTATAATAAAATTAAACTTATGTCCTAGACATCTCAAAAAATTATCAAAAAAATTATAATTTTTTTAGGATCTCTAGTATTTTTTAATCTAGAAATATCAAATTTGTGATTTTAAGGATTGGATGTGGATTGGATATGGTGTTTCAACAACCAACATATCAATCTGTTTTCTAGGCAATTTTCAAAGATGCTGGTATGAAATTTCTATAGAATTAATTGATGTAAAATGTCATGAGACCACACCACACAATGAGAATGAAGTTATGGTCCAAATGATTGCGAAGGTCTCATTCTTATCCTCCAAAATTCTTATTTTGACTCTAATGCTGAACTTGTTCCATGGGCTGTTCTCTTTTTTCTTTCTTTCTTTGATTTTAATGCTTACGTTTCTCATTTTCCTTCTACTTTCCTAATCATATGATTTCTCTTTCTTTTCTTTGTTTTGGCCTTACCTTTTTCTCATCTCTCTCTCAATTAATGCCAATGAATTCATCATAAACTTGTCAACTATTACCGCGCATGCCCTCACGCTACATGTTTAAGATAAAATGAAGCAATTTGTAGATTATACAATCCAATTAAGTCCGTGTAGCTCATCACGATTCGAATCTATTTTAATAATTTAATTCATTTATTTTATAAGCTTTTATATGTATATTATTTACAGAAAATGAAATTAATTTACTAATCAGTCATGTTGTTACATCATATATATATATTAAAAAATGAATAGTCTACTTTCAAATTCATATTTACATTATGTTAAAAGTATTTATTTCAAAATTAATTGACAGGGAGTGGAGATATCCTTACATTATATTAACTAAGTTTGAGTGGTTTAAATGAATAATGTGGGATTATGTCTAACACATCATTTTTTAACAGAAAAGAAGATAAATAATATAGTCCATTACTCAATCAGTGAGAAGTAAAAGAATTTAAATTATTAAAAAAAAAAAATGTAAAGACATGAGGTGCAAGTAAGTCACAAGGGATCATGAAAAAAAATTATAAAGATAATCATGAAAAATTTTCTACTCTTAAATTACATATATAATAAAACACCACATACTAATCAAAGAATGAAAAATTTTCATGAAACATTTCATGATATATTTTTCATGACCCCTAATATTATTCTTTCATTTATGATACAACACAAATTCATTTGTATATCTATCTTAGTTTTAACATGATACTCAGTTTCTAAATATCTTTTAACAGTGAATAATGACGAAGGAGGTAAAAACTAACTTGAATTACAGAGGGGGCTTACCTCAGCTAACGTGTCATCATCTAATTGGTTAAGTCTATTTCATACCACATGGGACGAAGGAAATGACAAGAATAACTAAAGAATAATATCCCTGATGATATTCTTTGGAATATTCATCTAGACCTATTTAGGGTTGGTTTGGGGTGTACTAAAAACGTATATTTTTTGTCTTTTTACGAAAAGATGTGCAGAAAAGTAGAGAGGTGATGTGATGGAAAAAAGATAAAAAGATAGATTATATAGTAGATGACAAACAAGGCTTAAAGTTATCAAAAAAAAGCTTTATTAGAGATATACCTACTCCTCGTGGGTTAAGGTATGCTCTCATTCACTACAAAACTTCTAAATTTCTATCTCTTCTCTTATAGGAATTGACTTGAGCGTCAAAATGCTCCTGCTTGAGACCTGATTGGGGCACTAATGATTTTTTATATTGTAAATTTCAGATTATGTTCTCCATTGAGTTCTTATCTTTGTTAAGTGAGGTCATTGAGTTCTTATCTTTGTTAAGTGAGGTATATTTTATATCCCCGCAAACTAGAAAGAAGATAGTGAACTATGAGTCTTTAGTTTACCTATCAACTTTATGTGACGATTGCTCTCTAATATCTTTACAAGATATGCCTATAAGATAAATGGATTGTCCCCCAATATATCTTTTTCTGCTAGGGTTCCTTTGACATGGCACATGAGGTCAGCTTGTTCTCAAAACCAATAAATATAGAGAAACAAGCATGATTATGAGCTCAATATCAAGGGCTAGGGTTGCATACACATATATAATGTCAAAAATGGTCACAAGAAAAGCACATTCACCTTGTTATCATAAGCTTTTGAATGTTGGTAAAGATAGTGGATTTGAGCATAAAAAATATGTGGAATGATGAGAGAGCATTTCTTCAAAAGCTAGAAGCACTTCCACAGTTTCTCTTTTCTTTAATGGAACAAAAAATGCTAAATGCCTCTTGTAAAGGTTTTATGCTCATGTCCTGAAATCATTTACAGCATATTTAAAGTGAAAATTGGACCACCATGGAGATTCATTTATGCCTACTCATATCATATCATATCATATCATATCTACTACTTCACTTCACTCATTGCAGAGCATCAACATTTAGATTTTATGTTTTTTATGGCGAAGTGGGATGTACGAGAACGATGTCCTATTCAACTCAGGTCAAAGGTAAAGATTTGTACAAGTAATTTTAGCGAGCTGAAAATATGATTCTTAAATTTACGCACACTAACGTGCTAAAGAGTGAAGTCTTAATTGATTGATATCTAAATAATTCAATAATTGACATGTAATACTTCATGAATATGATTCTTAAATTTATTCACACTAACATGGTAAAGAATCTTAATTGATTGATTTTTAAATAATTCAATCATTAACATGTAATACTTCATGTTATTATAAACAAATTTAGATATGATGTTTTAAAGGTTTTAACTATTTTTTTTCATTATTTCTACGATCTCAAGTTAAAGTCACTTCAACGGGTTACTGAAAGTTTGTCCGATCATTAATTTCAAGACTTTGAGATTAGTTGAGGTATGCACAAACTAATCTGGACACCCAATTATCTCCACACACACACACACAAAAAAAGAAGATTATGTTGTTAAACAAAACACTAACATATAACAGGGAATCAAAAATTATTTATAATTTTATCTTGGAAAAATGGCCCCAATAACAA